TGTTTTAGCTGATTTTCTACAACTACAAAAGATGCGCTACACGCATATTATATGCTGACAAAACAGTTTCATTCCAACACAGGTCGAAGGATGCTGCATTCGTAGAACACATTTCCCTAATGGCTGACTGTACAAAGAATATTGTTTTGCCTTGTGAAACTTCTATAATAATTTAATAATTTGCTCCTCTCTTCGCTTCAGGAATGCTTCTACTTCTTTCCATGCATTTTATATGGCAATTTAGGTGGTGGGGTTTTGTTTGCGGGTTTTTTTGTGGGTTTTTTTGTTTGTTTTGGGTTTTTTTTGTTTTGGTTGTTTTTTTTTTTTAAAGGAAAGCTGTGATGCTTTCTCTTCCATTGTATCTTGCTTTAATTTAGGAGTCCATCTCATTTTTGAATTCTGATTGGGTATACTTTGGGAACACCTCTAGTTTTAAGCCAGCCTTGCTCAAATTTATGTTCAAATGTATTACACTCCGTAACGATTTTCAATCACAAATGTAAAATAAAGAGATTACCTCTGAGGTCTCTTTCACTAAAGACAAATGAAATGCTGCTATTTTATGATCGAAAGAACTGATTATTTTTGCCATTCATTTCAATAATGTGCTATGAAGGAACCTAGTGTGGTCACATATTAGGACTGTTAACATCATAAATGAATAAAACATCTTGGCCTTATTGCTAATACCAGCAACAGCCACTCTCTGTAAAAAGACAGAGCATCTATTGAAACGAAGGAACTAAAAGTGACAGACTAAGCCAAGGTCACTTCTAAGCCTCTAATACTAGCGTTAGGGAAAAAAAGAAGGTGATTTGCAGACATCCCTGTAAAAGCATTTAATGTGAACATAGCTACATAAAATACATCTGGTACATAACTGGGAACAAAGACTATTTGCTTCATTAAAGATTCTGCTGATTAAGGCCTATTCATAGCAAAGAATCAAGCATCTTGAGAGAGAAAGTTTCTAATTTCGTAAAAAATGTTCCTAGCACTGAAATACATCAAGAGATTGTGTTCTTCACAACTTAAATACATCAACTCTTTTTTTATATCCACCTTCTCTACTTAGCATCAAGTCAAAGCAAAGGAAGGCATACGATATCATTTCCTCTAAGTATTTTTCCCTAGAGATCTAATAATACAAGCTAGTAGGAGTAATGTTCAAAACAAGATGTAGCAGAGCTGTGGAACTGTGTGGTTTCCAAGAAATGCTAAAAATGTATAGGGGTTCAAGGGAGAAACAGGGAATGTACTTGGAAGAGAAAGCCATCACAGGCTACATCTAGTAGAGGGAATCTTCTAGATTAAAAATAGTTGGAAGCTATGTATGACAAGCACTCCTGAGGAGGACATGGGCTTGTCCTTCTCTTACCTCTTTCTTCCCCATGTGTCTGGGTTTTGGAGTGTGATAAATGGTCTCTTGGTCTGATGCAGTGCAGCTGCTGTTACGTTTTTTTTATTGCAGTTCTTCTGGCCTTCCCAGATCTCATTTTTCCAATTCTCTTCCTATTCTTATTGATGTTATTCAGGGCTTATTTCTCCTGAGATACTTCAGGTGAATATATATGAGAGATATTTGCATATGAGAGCAATCTCATTCTCTCAGCTTAGGGCTGTAGTAATTTCACTGTGAGGGAAACAAAGATCTAACTTTGTAAGGTTTTTAGTTTAGTCACTTAATCACTCTACAGTTTCAGTAAGTTATTCAAAAGCAGCACACGGAACAAGAATAACAAATGCTGTTTATGAAACTTCCAAGTATGTTATTTGTAAGATATATAAGCTTACAAAATATTTAAGCCTGCGTTGCTTATTGTATTCAGGTAATTTTTAAAAAGGGACATAAACATTGCAAAATAAATAGAAATCAGCATTCACAATGTCTGAGACATACTTTTTTGACACTTGTTATTCCACACATCTGACTAAAGAATTGTGAAAGAAAATATTCATAAAAATATACTAATTTGTACATGTAAGTTCTTTCTGTACAATCTATTTGCTAAATAAACACGATCTATTATGACAATACTGAATTGCCAAGAAAATTACCACTGCTTCATCCAAAGTTTATCAATAGTAAAACCTCCCCTTGATAAAAAGCAGTTGGGGAGCATTGTCCATTAAGAAATGGCAACATTTCTGTTACAAACAACTAATAGATAATGTAATATTTAAGGTCAGTCTTTACATGTAATTTCTCTTTAAATTTTTTCCAGGCCTTTATCAACAGTGTTTATTATAAAACAAGTAGGGAGCTCTGAGTTATAAAGCAGTGACAAGCATAAAATTAAAACATACAGGTCTCAAAAAAAAAAATCCTCTAAGAGTTTAAAGCTAGCTGGTTTAAGCAGTTCAAGCAGCTTTTGCATGTGATGGAAATGGGATTTTAACATACATCAAAATTTAAAGCCAACAAATACTCTACTTCCACAACAGCAAACACCAGGAAGGAAAGACATGGGTTTTCTGCAGCGTTTTTCAAATTGGTTTTGTCCACACAGGTGTCCAGTAACAAAGGTGCTGTGAAGGCAGAGTGCTACGCTAGCGTATCTCCTCAAGAAATGTTAAAGCCATTGCTACACTACACTTCACATAGTACTCATTTGAGTTATGAGAAAAACGAGATGATGCAAACAATGGTGCAGGCTGCAAGGGATAGGAATAAAGTTTATTGCAGAGGTGTTTCTTCCCTGGCTTATGATCCTTCACAGCCTGACCTCGACCCAGTAAGCATCTCAGACCGAGCCTTCCTGCTCCTGTAACAGTGAAATATTGTATTTTTGACCCATACAAACTGGACAGTCACTGAAGTGAAGATACTGCTATTTTAGATTCAGATTATCTCTCGTTTTTCTGTAAGTGACTCATTCACTTTACATCAGATTAATTTTGGGAAACTTGCATCAATAGGAACAGCTCAGTAGTAAGTCACATTCAGGTGGACTGCATTCTATCACAGTGCTCATTTCCAAAATATTAATAATTCATCTACCCTAAGTAAGGCCTTTGCATTCATTTTTAATTGAGCATCTATTGACTGAAACTCCCTGTCAGCTGCAAATTTAGGCTTCTTTAACTCACACGATTGAGAACTTTTAACAGGTTATATTCAAGCCTATCTTCAAGCAGAAAAACAAGTAGCAGGATGTTGCTACTAATCCTTGAGAGAATGCCTGAATGCTACACTAACAGTGACTTCCTTAAAAAGCCGTCACCCTGCTTTCATGGTTAGAAAGCTAGACAGACCAAGCAAGCCAAGAGGCTAGAAGTCTGGTCAGGAGAAATGCCAGAATAAATTGAAAGGGTGAAAACCGAAAAGGGATAGCGAACCATTGTTTCCTGACCACGTGAACTGATCTGCCAGTAACTACTGCCTATGAAAATAAGTTTTTCTTCAACTAACTCATGGATATTCAACAACATATTTAAGTACTATGCAAGGCGACTGTCCTAATGTTCAAATGACGCATGCACAAAGGAGTTATGCACCACAGCTGAGCCCTATAGACCCAAAAGAGTGCACGCGCACTCTCTCTCTGCCCATCTCAGTGGGAATTAGTTGGAATTAGTATGAGTTACGCTGTCATTCCTCCATGATAAAATGCAAATAATTAACAACATTGACACAATTGTGGCAAAGATTTAACCTGTTTAGATCAGTGAAATAGATCAGTATTACAGAAATCAGTATTATATACAATATCCCAGCCTCTAAGACACAAAATATAGAAAGCCATTTTCATCCTTGATAGTGATTAAATTACTTTTATTCCCATTTAAAATATACAACTTTGAAAAATTATGCATCATACATTCAAATATGAATTGCATTCTTAAGTGTCCCGATTTCCAGGTATCCTATTTGCTGGCCACTATAATACAATAATCTGTCAACACTGTTTATTTACAGCCATAGGAGAAAAATCCCCGTAAATAAATATTTTATCTGATATTGCAGCTTTTCCTTAAACACTTACATTTAGAAGTCAATTTCAGTAGGCCTCTTTCTCCCAAACACTGTTTCTTGTTCCTACAGGAGAAAAATTCCAAAAGATCCCAAAAAAGGCAAAAAATGTTTAAGTCGGCTATTTTAGAAATAGCACTCAAGATATGAGTCAATTTAGCAGTGTCAGAAATAACCATTAAAGCTAACATTACCACCCAAGAGCAGTTCGAGAAAGCTCACTAACAATGCCATGAATCTTAATGGTTTTTAAGTAGTAATTTAAAAGCTTTAGAAAAATCGATACAAACGGTATCATTAGTACAGCAATACTGTTGCAGATACTATTAGGAGTATGGCAAGGAGGCATAACCTACAGCACCCTTGAAAAAGCACCACTACTGAGAAATCTTTATGGCAGGGTTTCGATGAATTTTAAAAGGGCACGTTGACTTCACTTAAGCCTGACAGCAAGTGCCCCCTGCAGGATACACAACGCAGGGTGCAACACTGCTCTGCTTTGAGGCAACTTACTACTGCATAACTTTGTGTTATTTATAGAACACCAGAGATATGACAGGCATTTTTTAGACTGTAACATCCCTGTTCTGCAGAGCTTGAAGTCTTCACTACTATACAAAACACAGTGGGAAAAGAATGAGACTCAAATAGCAATGAGTGATCTATAGCATGTATTAAATCAGTTAATGGATAGGTAGGAGATAAGAATAGTAGGAGTAAAAAGTCAGCCACTGAATTTTACACTGCATGAAGTATAGAAAAAAATTTGTAATTGCAGTTAGCCCTAATTTAACTGAAGCCAACATCATCACTTCTGTATCAGGACTGGAGGGAAAAAAAAAAGTGTTTATCACTGTATTAGAAAATGAAGTTATTAACAGTTTGGTATGATATCCTAAGTTAACAGAGAAAAATCAACACAGGTATTTTAAATTTGATAGATTTTATTTACAGTTTTGTTGGCAAAAGGTGGTGGGAAACTTTAAAACATTTTAAACAGAGGGCACCATATTGTATTGTATGATGTATCAGTTCACAATCTTCAGTATCCAGCTGATCAAATAAAGCTAATCACCACTTAAAGAAGCATAATCTGCATGAGCTCGATTAGAGTATACTGCCTAAAAACACCTCAGGCAGCTTCTAAATCAAAACAATTACTAATAAAGACGCAGTTCTGGTGAAGAATGTATACTTTGATTTTTATACTGTACCTGGTATCAAATTGCCCACTTAAACTTGCATACTGGCAAAGCAGTTACACTTCCTACTTTTAGTTGAAAGTTATAATCTCATTTTCTGCAAATTTAGCTGTCAGATAATTGTGAACCACTCTGAATATTATACTGTGAGTGTAGTCAAGATTGGAGTAGATGAGATTGAAGGAAAATATTCCTGGTATATGATGTGCCTATGAGAATCAGCTGGGTAACCATAAACATCCCGTTTAAGAATTCTACTCAAAAAGGAGAGAAAAAAAAAAATGTAGTCAGTTTTCACTTTGTCACATAGATTTAACTCCTCACTTGAGCTTTTTAATTCATTCTTCTAAATCAAGAGTGTTTAGTTCCTCTTCTAGTTCATCCAAGTCCTCTCCAGTAAAAAGATTTTCATCAACTGGAACTGCATCAATTACTCCATTTTCCAACTCCCCATCTCCATCATTATCTTCCTCTAAATCATTTTGCTCACTGCTGTTTATATCACCACCAGAAGCTTCACTTAATTTATTATCTGAAAATAAAAATAATTCTTACACATTTCAGTGTCACAAGTTTCTCAATCACTGAATCACAATCCTACTAAACAGGCTTTAAAGTCTTGAAACTATTAAGAAGTTACTTTATTTGAAATTTATGTAGACTTATGTTGGTTAAATTGCATGTACTGATTAATATGCAGGTTTGGATCATCAATTATTAAAACAAGTTGAAAAAAACCCCTCAAACTCCCAACTCCTCAAACTCCTATTTTCATAACCGGGTCAAACTTAATGAGCTGCTCCTACTCAATGTCTGCACTTAAAAGACTCAGGGTCCTAAAGATAAGGATATGCATTTCATAAGCACACTAAGATCAGACTTTGCTCTAAGAAATTACAAGCTAACCTAAGCTAGCTAGAAATATGAAGAAAAGCTTGGATTTTTGTTGATATTATTCATTGAATCATTTACTAAATCTGAAATTAAAAAAAGGGGAAACCGCTAAAACAAACATCTTAAGGATTTACTTGAAATGGCCATAAACACTACCTGTTATTTAAACTTGAATTTAAGAAACTAAGAAGTGCATAACATTTACTACAAGCTTTTTCTTTAGCAACTACATGTATCATTGATAATAATTTCATTCCCCCACCCTTTTTAAACAAATACTTCTTTTCAGCAGATCAATAATTCATTTCTATTTACCTTTGGGGAAGCTCTTAACAATTCAATCCCGTATTAGTGATGCCTAAATAATGAACTTACCATCTTTTTCTGTTGAACTGTATGTGCTGAATCGCTCAGGACTAGCCACAGTAATACCAGTCTCATCTACCGCCTTTGGGACATACAGGTTCAAATCTATATCATTTATGCACACAGGGTCTTCCATCTGAAAAATAAACTCTCATTTCTGCAGGATTTCTACAAAATTTTTTTAATCGTCCTTTTAACACCAAAATTTTGACAAAATATACTCTGTAGCAGTGTTAAATTAAAAAGCAAACTTACTAAATGCACTGTAAGAGCTCTCAAATTAAAAGTTTTCAAACTTGAATGTAACTTGAAATATTATTCAAGTTCTTTACCTCATCGTCTTCTCCCGTTCCTTGAATATAATGGGTGTCATCTGCTTCTTCATCATCTGCATCAACCAACTCTGGTCGGAACTCAAATACTTCACGTCCACTAATCTATTCACAGAAAAAGAAATCTTAACTTATCATTTGATAGAATGTATACTGCTGTTAAAAAAAAAGCAAGAAAAAAAAAAAAGCAAAGCAATTCCAGGCCAGCTACCTTACTACAAAAACTTATTTACTCTTTCTTACGTTAAGAATTGGAGTGTGGAACATACCACCAATGCTTTGCCAGCTTTAAAATCTGCTTTCCTCCTCTCCATATCTTGCTCAGCCTTATCAATTTTTTCTTGTCTTTTTCTTCTCTTCCATGCAATAAAACACTCTAGAGTAATTTTGGTAACATTTGGTCCTAAGGCAGCACGCTGTCAAGTAAAGAGACAGATTAATGCTAGAAATTGTTTCCAAAGGCTAGAACAAATTAGAGATTTAATTATGCTTTTCCGGAAACTAATTGGAAACCTTTCTTTCTAATTCCTTCTTCACTCTCACCACTGTTAAACATGCACCACCAACTTGAAGTTTGACTAAAGACATGATTTTCCAGTTAGTAAGATAAGTTAACATGAAAGTTAACAAGAAAAGTGGAGGAGGAAAGAAACCAACGATAACAGCTGAGGTTCTCCCCAAATTGACACTGCCAGGCAATGGTGACAGAAATAAGCAGAGCAGCAAAGTAACACCTTCAGAAGGCCCCGTTCTCTTGGTGTTGCTTCCTCATTACAGAGCTATGTGAAAACTAACGAGGCAGTGAGCTGGGGATGAGAAAGGCCTATAGAAACAGTTGTAATAGATACAAGGAAAAATAGCAGTAAGAAATAGAAGCCTCCTAGAAAAGGATTAGCAACACCTGCACTAAGTATGCAGCTATAGTTTAATCTATTCCCTAGGTAACAGTTTCTAAACAAAAGCATGAATCAAATACTACGCATCCTTCACCCTAGCTCATACAGCTATAAAAACATTTTATACTTTTTAATTAGGAAGTTATTTTCAACTGTCTCTTCAGATTAACAAAAACAAATACCACCAAAAGGTACCTGCCTGAAACTTTACCTCTTTTTCTATTAGATCTTCTAAAGAAATTTCATCTTGCTTTTCCTCCTTCTTTTTGTCTTTTTTTAATACAAAACCTGGAGGGAGAGCATGGCGATACATGCAGTTGTCTCCTCCACCTGGACACACCCAAAACCATCCATATTTGTTGTTTTCAATAGCATCAAGGAAATATTTGCAGACCTGTATAAAACAATGGTTGTTAGCACTGCATTCTCTTTTCATCCCCAGCAATTTACACTACATATATAGCTACTACATGTCAAAGTACAGTAATTCAAAGCCAGCTGTGCTCAAGACAGAAGAAACATGTGAAATGCATTGCTACTAAAAAAGTAGACAAAAGAAGCACAACTAATTATCTAAAACTGATGTAGTCAACAGGTTTTTCCCCTTAATATAATCCCAGTTTAAAAAGACAGAATGACTCTGAACACTGGCAACTGTGTACTACCGAAAACCCAGCTGCACATGTAAAAGCATGCTGACAGTCTTTCTCTTCCTGCTCACCAACATCAGTGTAGTTCTAATAAAAATAAATAGAATCTGCCTCACATGTTAAACCTTCCAGCTCACAATCCTGAGGTAAAGATGCCATTCTGGAACTTTTAACAAGCAATTCATAGTTCACACTTACCCATATCAAATTTTAACTTTTGCAAATTTAAGCGGTATCAATAGAATATTTAATTATTTGGCATTGAAAACAAGGTGAAATGGTTCCAAAGAATGAAAAAGAGATTAAGACATTATACCATTTAGTGCACAAACTAAAGAATATTCTTGAAGTTAGAGGTCAAGAATTACAAATTACTCAATAAATTTCAGCTTACAGGAGAAAATTTTGACTTATATGCTTACATGTCACACAGTACATAAATAAGCCAACTGTATTATATATATTCCATTCAAATATTATAATATTCCATTCAAAATCTTTAGATAATGATAACCATATCTAATACCAGTCTGCAGTTAATTCTCTCTACTACAGCTCAATTTAAAAAAAAAAAAAAACCACACCACAAAAAGGACATACTATTTGAGTTTTGGGTTTTTTCTTTTCCGCCTCACCATGCTTCTTGTTCACCACTTCTTCCAGCTTCTTCTCATCCCAGTTATCCATTGTATCTAGAAAAAGACGACAGATGGTTTCACAAAAATTCCAGATACTAAACAATACTGTCAAGTTGCTTTTCTCCCTAGTAACAGTTTTAATATGCAATTCTTACATTTTAGTTAGTTTATAGAAAATAAATTTGGGCTTTTATTATAAAGTTTTCAAACTCTTCTATGCTGCTCACAAGACAATTACCTCAAAAGCCTTAGAAATTTATATTTTGACATGCATAAAGTGTGTTTCAGTTAAAGACTAAAAAATGTGTAATTCCATCTGTACACTACCATGCATGGACAAGGGAAAAGAAGAAAAGGAAGATAACTGAATAAAAGAGAAGGTTGGAGGCTAATGTCCAGAAATACAGATGATATAACTTGAGGATCGAAAGAGATAATACCAAATTTTCTGTGTTAAAGTTAAAAGAAGGTTCCATCAAAAGAAGCAAGATCACCAATGGTAACAGTAGTAGTGAATCTATGGTATCCTATCATATTCATTTAGGACAACACAGCCTAAAATTCAAATAAAGACTGAGACATGATGAATTGTGGAAAAATAAAAGAAATTATTTTGAACATAAAATCTAACACCTGCTAAGTAAAAGTAAAATCCAGAGTACTTTGCCAACAAATTATTTGGAGAAAGGAGATAAAAGTCACAGAAAAAAATTCCAAAGTATCCTAAATGCTAGAACCGTGCACATTTGGGCAAACACTAGTAATAGTTCTGGAAGGCAACGATGGTTGCTCATTACGCTTCCTCCTTTTGCGCTTCCGTTTTATAGAACTTAGAAGAAACTAACAACTATAAGAAAGATCAAATACTGTACAACTTGCCACTTGTATGACATAATACATCACACAGCAGAATTAAAAAAACACCATCCAATATCACTAGGTCATACTTCTTTTTCTAAGTAAGATCTAAAGAATACTTGTGAGCACACTTTTTAAAGAAAGTTTCACTGTTGTTCATAATTTTGAACGTAGTGGTATGGGTTGCCTTGGTTACTGACCAGGCTCTTCAGGATCATAACCACAACACAAGACGACTCTTTATCTTAAAAATCCAGTTTCAGAATCAGAATAGCTTAGTAGTAATTTTCTAGAAGTATTATACCTTTTTCAAGGTCTTCATCTCTTGCATCAATGTAGACACTTCGTTTTTCACACTTCCTTTCCAAAGACAAGTCATGAGAAAACTTGCACTTGTCTCCTTTAGTGCATTGTCCTTGCTTGAAGAAAGCACAAACTACAGATTTGGGGTCAGCACCTGAGCGAAGAAAGTTTTCTTATTTTAATATTATTTTTAAGCAAAAACACAAAACTGGAGCAAAAGATGTATATTAAAAGTTCTGACAACAATGTCTGGGATCATACAATCTAAGATCTGTAAAGAACGAAAACACGTCTTTAAAAATAAAAATTATTTAATGTGAAGTTCATCACAAGTAAATACTGTCCTGAACGTGTCATATTTACTTTGTATAGCATGATATTTGCATTAAGTATCAAAGCAGGCACTTAACTATTTAAAGAAATATGGATAGCCGTGTGCCTGAGTAAATTATTCATTCATATAACACAATACATATGAGATATCACTCTGTGCAACTTCTTCCCTATACAATAAGCTATTTTTGCCTCTAATACATAGTAAAGCATTTTCTGGATGTCAGACTTTCCTTAATAGGTCAACAACACACTAAAATAAATTGTAATAATCTAACCTGCACTCATTCAGACTACTTCTTCCTCTAATAATAGAAATAAGATGGCTGCTTATAGCCCCCAAAATAAACAACTGTTGTTACAGTATGAACTATTCAATCAACCTAACTACAGTTTAAGTAAATATCATCTCACCAAAGGAATTATTTGACCATTAGGAGGTAAGAAAAGAAATGAAAGCAGGTGGAAACATATTTATGAGACAACTGAATCAGAAATGCTTTACTTTTAATATTCATTAAGTGCGCATGTAAGATTTTAAGCTCGAGTTTTTCACTTGCTGATTTTAAGCTTGGTGCAAGTCACCAGTGACTACAGTATGTACAGCAACACCTGTTTAAAATCTTAACTAAAAATCTAGTTTTTAAACACTGAGTGGATCCCTAAAAGAACTTCAGGTAATATAGCTCTCCTTGTTGGCAATCTCAATAGAAAGGCAAAGCTTTAATTAGGAAGTTATTAGTCTTCTGAAATAACTTTAAGTCAAGAGCTACTTTATTTGGAGAAAGCTGACCACTGCAGATCATAAACAGAAAACGGGCCTTTGTGGCTGCTAAGTGCCACAGTGAACAAATATCAAGTTTGCTTTAAAGACATACATGGAAATCACACTTGTTTAGTCAAAAAATATTGCACATAATTTCATTAGTTCCAGAAAATTAATAAAGGAAAAGAGTTGATAACATTTAGTTCATTCCTAAAAGTATAATTTTTTTTCCACCCACATGGCAGCCAGTTGTAGAGTTTCCTAGAAGTATCAAACATTCTTAAACTTACATTTCATCATAAAACTAGTTTGTTCAATAACCGAGTTCAAATAAGACCACACTTCCAAAACCAAGTCCTACTATTAACTGTGAAGTGGGACAGAAGTAACTGGAAAATTTTTACTGTTCTGATTTGAATACAAGTTTTCTGTGAAGACAAATGGTTACCATATTATATTCCTTGTAATACCTGGATGTTCATGTTTCCCTGGGGAGACAGGCTGCTTTAAACAAGTACCATCACACACACAAAAAAAACCAAACCCAGACTCATGCCAGTGATCCAGAAGCATCTAATTAATGAACCTGAATACAGCAAAGTCTCCATTGCTGCTCTGTCAATATCAATATAGCTTTTGATATTCTAATAATCTAGTAACCCCAGATGACTTCCTAAAAAAGTGTCAAATCATTACTAACAAACTACTTGGTACACTAGATAGAGAAGGAAACAGACATACCTACTTTATTAGAAGATGAACTAGCATTTTTAAAGGGTTATTTTACCTGAAGTAGGTATATGTATAAGAGAACATAAATGAAGAGAATTCAATTACTCATACCTTTGCTAATTTTCTGTGCAGCAACCACAGGCTTGAAGAGTTCATTTAATTCTTGTAATTCTTTTTTCTTATCTTCTTTTTTTAATTTTTTCTCACTCTCTGTTTGAGCAGCCTATAATGACCCCAAATTTGAAGTTATTAATATATAATTAGAATGACACTACTCACTTCACATGAACTGTACACTAAAATAGCAAATAATTTTAAATAAGTTTATAAGGGGAGGAGGAAAAGAACCTGTGATTTCTGAATTTCTCAGAATTCCTGCCCTTGCATGAATGGCCAGTGCCATCTAGTGGTACTGACCTTTCAAACAGAAGAGATTTCAAATGCAATTTGTCAGAGATGCTGGTAGGTACCATTAAATGACACAGTTACCTCTATTCCACCTCGACAAGCTAGGAAATCAAGTGAAAGATACTGAGACAAAGGAGAGGAAAAGTTGGTTGCTCTTTTGTGATACATTAGCAGTGCAACTATTCAATGCAGTTACTTCCAAGATCTGTGCAAAAAGCTTCTCTATCTTTAGTGCCCTACATGCTACTTTGTTCTTTCTCTTCATGTATACCAGCAGCACTTCCAGGAAATCTCTCTGTAGAAGTCAGGAACTGCTTTTAGAACACTTTTTTTGTTTTAATTTATATCAATTCATTGATAACTAGTGGTTTATAAAACAAGAACATTCATTTTATAGATACTAGTGGCCAAGGTCTGAAAAACAAGCTCACCTACGAAAAGAAAAGTTTGTGTATTAAAAAACCAACAACTGTGACTCTGCCTTACCCTTTTTGGATAAGCCAGAAGAGGCCTGTATCTATACCTGAGTGGTAGAGAGGGATGAAGACAGATGAAAGAGGACATGGGAGAAACATTATTACATGATTTGATTCTTATCCTTACAGGAAGCTAATGAGACTAACACCACTATACAAATATGTGGGGTACTTTATTGGTAAAATACAGTGTAATATTAAAAAAGGAGCTTTGTTCCTGTGGTGAACTGGGCAAGAAAATGCCAAATTGTTTTAAAAGGGAATTGATTAATTTGGTCCACATACAGAACATTCAGTTTTCACACTGAAAAGTCCACAAATCCTATTTTATATAGCATGCAGACCCACATACGTCAACTACAAAAAGTAGTACTTTAAGAACGCTTTTGTTTCACCCTGGGGTTCTAAAATCATGAAGATGAAAGTTGCCTTTTTTTTCTTTTTAAACAAAAAACCTTGACAGCATTTCCATTTGTATCTCAGGACACAACAATAATTGCTTTAAAGTGTTCTTTCTTTCGCAGGGACAACCCTAACTGAAAACCATTTTACAGGGTAAGAAAGGTATAATCAGGTCTAAAAATTAGCTTCTGACATCCATCAGTCAACAGCTAAGAGCATTTGAGAAACAAATTATTTTAGGTTGGCTAATTTACATACTGGTATACCATTAAATGCTACAGATTCAGGGATTTCATGTAGAAATTTCAGAAGAACTGTTTGAGTAACACCAATGTTTCTGAAGTGACATCAAGCAGTCCTTTCCACTACAAGAAACTGTTAGATCTAATGACCCGAATATCAACTTTACCTTTAAAGTCGTACTTGACATTTGTTAGTTCATCCTTATGTTATGCAAGGAATTTAACATAAATTATGACATCATGAATTTAGCTGATGCAAATGTAAGCTGCATAAATACTTAGCAACTAGCTTCCCTAGCACTGTAAGAACAAGAGACCAGGCTCACTTCCATTATAAATGGAAGTATTTTCATGAAATTTGTGCTTTCTGACTAAGTGTAGTCTAAACATTGAACATTGTATCTCAGCCACATCACATTTTACTTCATCATACAAAAGCAAAGCAGAGTAGTAGACAGCAGCTCAACATTTCCGTTTCTTTGACCAGTTCACCAAATAGATGCAGACTTGTCAGACCTGTTTCCATTTTAAATTATAATAAATACTTCCGTAAGTAGAACAAGCAGCACATATGGGCTTATACATTTTTTTAATCTTCCCTCAATTCCAATTTTAATATTAGTAACAACTACTCTTATTTTTAATGGTTCATTACTTCTTCTATTAGGTGGGAATTAAAGAGGAAAAAAGAGAAAGAATATATAACCGCACTTTGCTGATACCCAGTTTCTACAATTTACTTTCAGGTATACCTTAAACTCAATTATGTTACTATTAGAATACTGTGTAAAGAAACACACACCTTTATTAGTTGAGTTTGAGTTTTCTGATACATAATTCTCAGCTAGAAAAACTTTGCAAGAAGACTATCTAGTTAAATCTGTGCTAGCCACAATATATCAGGCAAGTAAAATCTCAACTTTTTTCTACTTCAGTATTATATGACAATCTATGTGTATAGGGAAAGACACTATACCGTGGGAAAACATTACAGATTAAATGCTTACCTGACGGGGATTTTGCTGACCAAATTTAACCTGGTGAGTCACAGCCTTGATAAATTTCTGTTGTTTTGCACCTTTTTTATTCTTTAGGCCAAATGTTTTGTCCTAAATCAAGAGATAAAAACAGCCAAATGAATTGAAACTGTCCAACACTTGGAACAAGTTTAAGGTGTTACCAAAAAAAAAAAAAAAAAAAAAAGAAAAAAGACTTGCCATTCCTCTCAGGTTTTCAGTTAAACACAGACTATATCCTATAGCAACACAAGCAATCCAAGAAACAGTACAGGCAATATTTACACTCCTCACATCATCTTTAAAATTTGCTTTTCAAAAGAACATACTAAATGCTGCTTTTGTGTGAGCTATTGCTTTTATCACCAGACCTACTTGTGTCCAAATATTAGCATGAGCATATACACACAGTGTTTTCAGGCCCCTCAAAACAGAAGGACAAGATGTTTTTGGTGACTACCCAAGTAACATTTGAGGAAAATATGAAGACTGAATAGCCATAAATACTGCTCTTTTTTTCCTATCTACCTGAAATCACTTATTACTTTTATCTTCAAGTATTAATAATTTGTTATGCAGATTAATATTGCCACATGTAACACATTACTTTGTATTTTCAAGTATTTTAAGCTTTTCATTTTCTAACTCTACTAGTTTGAAGATAAGTCTTTCCCCTATGTCAAGTCCAGACAGATGTTTGTACTTCCTAAACTCCACTGCAAGAAGTTTCTGTTTACTGCCTGAAACAATTCTTACTCTACATCTCTATAGTTTTATTGTTACAGACAGGTTTCTATACCAAACGTATTAAAAATTTCATTAAAAAAAGAAAAAGATAGCTCACTTTCACACAAGTATCTAAAGCAGAAATTATTTTTTGTAACTGAAATACCTACATTAAAAACCTATCCATGCCTTTGCATTGATATCAACTTTTTTTTTCCTTCCAGGAAAAAGTAGCAGATGTTCATCTAGTGATAATACCTAGTTCAAACACACTTTTGAAGACCCTAACAATCCAAAAATATATTATAAAAGAATTATAGAATAAACAGTTCCAAATTTCCAGAGTAATCCTGTTTTCATTTGCAATGTATACCCTATTAACAGCAGCTAGTCCTCTGTTACTTTATGCTAATTTGAAAAGTCTGTAATTTGTCAAAATAACTAGTTGGGAAAGAAAACAGATCATTCACACACTTGATTTCTGTGGCAAACACCACATGGAATATATAATCTCTGTGTATTTGAATTATACAATAAATTATTATTAATAATCAATGCAAGTTTTTCCCTCTTTCAGCTGCATTTTTTTGTAATAAAAGGCAGAATTTTCCTATGTAGCTGGATTCAGCAAGAACATTATAAACACCGAAGCTAACAGAGAGAGAGAACAACCTAATGTTTCCAAAGAACATAAAAATAACATTCTGCAGTGCTAGATTTAAAAGAACATTTGTGTTACATGGATATTCTGCCGAAACAGCCGAGCAGCTATTAACTTTCTTGCCAACAGATGCAGGCAAACATTTAATTTTCTATAACTGCTCTCTCCTTGTACTCTCAACATAGCTTTTCTTTTTTTGTATAGTGCAAGGTTTGCATGACTATCCTAATAACTAACATAAACACACCCCCAGCAGCTTTTTTAAAATCTGGTTTTATTATGGAATCGAGCATCAGAAGTTTAAATATAATAGGCGATATTACTGATTAATCCTCAAATTATTTTGCATTCAACTTCTATGAAAGATTTACTAAACTGCTATTCCAGGAAATGCCTCCTTGACCACACAGGTCAAATTGTATCAAAGAAACCCAAAACAAACCATACATGTTTTAAACTGAGCGAGAAATGCAAACTTAGACCTCAGAAAGCCAGACTCGAAAATATAGGAACACATAGAACACAGAAATGGAGAAGGGATAGGGCGAGAAAGAAAAAACGAAGAGCACTCATGTCAGATAACCTTCAGTCCAAAACCAGCTCTGGCCAGAAAACGTCCAGGCTGAAAACCCAAACCCCAGTCCAAGTAGCGGCCACCAGCACAACTTGAAGGGCAACGGTCAGTGATTTGACAGATCTGGGCAGCGCTGGGGCCGCCAAGGGAACCAGCATCCCCCGGAACAGTGCTTCTGGGCTGGTCTGCGGCACCGATCAGGTGTGCGTGCGCATACCCCTCCGCGCACATCAAGTTTTTGGCTTAATGACCATTTCCTTGGCCGCTTCAGCTGAAGAGGCGGCCTG